ATAATTCATAAGTGAATCTTGAAATCATGTGTTATTCATATGGGCGTAGATGAATACATGGAATTGATACAATCTATAGATGCCAATATGTGTTTTTGCTTGGGTTTCTACTTTCTTTACAATTAAATTTGTTCTCTTTGTGTGCTCAATTTTTAGGTGCTACGACCTTTCCTCCTCAGAAGATTGAAGTCTGATGTTGAGAAAGGCTTGCCTCCAAAGAAGGAAACAATACTTAAAGTTGGTATGTCTCAGATGCAAAAGCATTACTATAAGGCTCTGCTGCAGAAAGATCTGGAGGTAGTAAATGCTGGTGGAGAACGCAAGCGTCTTCTTAATATAGCCATGCAACTGCGAAAATGTTGTAATCATCCATATTTATTTCAAGGTGCTGAACCTGGTCCACCTTATACCACCGGAGATCATCTCATTGAAAATGCTGGTATGATTTTTCATTATACTTCAATGTTAAGAGATTGACTTTTCTGTGGTGATTGCCTCCCTCCTTCGGCTCTTTTTTCTTTATGTTTATTACATCCATTATTTATTGCAGGAAAAATGGTTCTTCTAGACAAGTTGCTTCCAAAATTGAAGGAGCGTGATTCTAGAGTGTTGATATTCTCACAGGTTTATACTCTCTCACTGAAGTTCTTTTAATCTACGATACATACATACATACATACATGCGTGTGTGTGTGTGTGTGTGTGTGTGTATATTTTTTTTTGTGGGGGTCGGTGATCTACTACAAAAGTTAGCTTTGGATTGAACATAGTTGTGCAAAAGAGGCTTTGTTTTATGTGGTCTTTTTTTTCACACATTAGTTTACTGTATTTAAGGGGGCAAAAAACTCCAGGATTGTCGATAGATTGATCTTTCTGTTTATTTGGCAATCAATTTCTTTGTTTTTCCAACATACATGCGTGTGTGTGTGTGTGTGTGTGTGTGTGTGTGTGTGTGTATTTTTTTTTGTGGGGGTCGGTGATCTACTACAAAAGTTAGCTTTGGATTGAACATAGTTGTGCAAAAGAGGCTTTGTTTTATGTGGTCTTTTTTTTCACACATTAGTTTAGTGTATTTAAGGGGGCAAAAAACTCCAGGATTGTCGATAGATTGATCTTTCTGTTTATTTGGCAATCAATTTCTTTGTTTTTCCATTTGATTATACATGACAAATTCCTTTTGATTGTTTAAAATAGATGACAAGGCTGCTGGACATTCTTGAAGACTATTTGATGTTTCGTGGATACCAATATTGTCGCATTGATGGAAATACTGGTGGGGATGATCGGGATGCTTACATAGAAGCCTTCAACATGCCAGGAAGTGAGAAATTTGTCTTTCTACTGTCAACTAGAGCTGGAGGTCTTGGTATCAACCTTGCTACTGCAGACGTTGTTATTCTCTATGACAGTGATTGGTAAGAATTTGCTGCAATACTGTCTGATAATGCATCAAGGGCTACAACTGGAAATTTAAACATTCCAATTCTTGCCTCTGTTAAATTGCAGGAATCCACAGGTTGATTTGCAGGCTCAGGACCGTGCTCATAGAATTGGGCAGAAGAAAGAAGTCCAAGTGTTCCGATTCTGCACTGAGGTTTTGCTTTTCTCCATATTTTGTAATGTATTTTAATGAGGCTTCTTGGAGATATTATGCATTCGTGATATGTTCGAATTCATTGTTAATAGTACACTATTGAGGAAAAAGTGATCGAGAGGGCATATAAAAAGCTTGCATTGGATGCTTTGGTTATCCAGCAAGGGCGACTAGCAGAGCAAAAGTGTAGGGTTTCTTTTTCATAGATCAAGATCTATTTCGTGGATTACCATCAAAAGTCGACAGATTTAATTTTGTTATGTATGCCACGCAGCTGTTAACAAAGATGAGCTGCTGCAAATGGTGAGATTTGGTGCTGAAATGGTTTTCAGTTCCAAAGAGGGTACAATCACAGATGAAGATATAGATAGGATAATTGCCAAGGGAGAAGAGGCAACAGCTGAACTTGATGCCAAGATGAAAAAATTCACCGAAGATGCTATCAAATTTAAAATGGATGACTGTATGCATCTTGCTTTGTCAACCTTGCTAGTTTAGTTGCTTTTATCTCTTTCATTTTTGGTGATATATATGTCAGTACGGCTAAATTATCTTCTTGGACTTTCTGCAGCTGCTGACTTGTATGATTTTGAGGATGAAAAGGTAGCACTTGTTAATTCCTTTATGGCTTGTCTAATATGACTTCTCATTCCTTTTCTGTTCTATTTTGGGGCATGTACTGATTTTTCATTTTCCTTTCTGTTGTTGATAGGATGAAAGCAAGTTTGATTTCAAGAAAATTGTCAGTGATAATTGGATTGAACCTCCGAAAAGAGAACGGAAGCGCAAGTATGTTTCTTCAGTTGCTAAAGATATCTACGCCAAGTTTATCAGAAAAACAATACATTTCTTACATTTCTTGTTCTGTTGTTAGTTACTCAGAGTCGGAATACTTCAAGCAAACAATGCGTCAAAGTGGTCCTGCTAGACCAAAAGAACCCCGAATCCCCCGCATGCCTCAGTTGTAAGCTTTTTTTTTTTTTTTAAATTTAAATATTTAATTAAATTATTTTTATTCTTTGTTTCTGCACTTGACATGTTTTTCTATGATAGGCACGACTTCCAGTTCTTCAATACGCAGCGTCTCACTGAGCTGTATGAGAAAGAAGTGCGCTGCCTCATGGTGGGTGTCTTGGCTTTTCTGGATTCGTTTTTATAATCCACATTGCTATATTTAACTTTTTTGTTTTCATGATTTCAGCAAATCCAACAGAGAAGTCAAGTGAAAGATACAATAGAGGTGGATGAACCTGAAGGTATTCTGCTACTTCTTTTGTTGTGAATACCTTCCATATCTAGTCATTTTTCCATTGGATATGCTATTGAAACGATTTTATCTACCTAGATGTGGGAGATCCGTTGACTACTGAGGAGCAGGAAGAGAAGGAGCGACTGCTGGAAGAAGTATTTTTTCCACAATTTTCTAACTGATTGATATTGTCCATTTTTCTTGTACCTGATAATTTGTTGTATTTAGGGATTTTCGACATGGAGCCGAAGGGACTTCAATACATTCATCAGGGCCTGTGAGAAGTATGGTCGAAATGATATTAAGAATATTGCTTATGAAATGGAAGGGAAAACTGAGGACGAAGTTGAGAGATATTCAAAAGTTTTCAAGGAAAGATACAAAGAATTGAATGGTCAGTGATATTTTCATCGGTTTCTCGCGATTATGCTTTGAGAAATTATCTACTTATTCCACTTTTCTCCCCATATCTAGAGAAATATGGAGAGAAACATGGAAATGGCGCTTTTAGTGTATACGTGAAACATGATCTTTAGAGATTTTATTGGAAGTTCTGCTAGGCTAATTTATGCAACGGGCATTGCAACTTTCTCTACAACTTTCTCGTAGAGTATCAGGAATCTTGTTGCAACAGGATCATTATTGCTTCAGGCTTTTTCTGTATTTGAAACGTTGTTTTTTTTATTAACGCGTGTATTATATTTCCAGACTATGATAGGATTGTCAAGAACATTGAAAGAGGAGAGGCTAGAATTTCAAGAAGAGATGAGATCATGAAAGCTATTGGGAAGAAAATGGATCGCTATAAGAATCCATGGCTCGAGTTAAAGATACAGTATGGCCAGAACAAGGGAAAGTTATACAATGAAGAATGTGATCGTTTCATGGTGAGACTTTCAATCACATTAAGCTCTTCTAAGTTGTATCGATTTTCTTACCTTTCTAATTATCTGACTGATCACCGTAATGTCATCATTCATTTCCTCTCACAGATATGCATGGTTCACAAGATCGGGTATGGGAACTGGGATGAGCTTAAGGCAGCCTTCCGTATGTCGCCATTGTTCCGTTTTGATTGGTTTGTGAAGTCTCGTACAACACAAGAACTTGCAAGAAGATGCGACACACTTATTCGTTTAGTAGAGAAGGAAAACCAAGAACATGATGAGATAGAGAGACGAGCTCGTAAAGAGAAAAAACTGGCAAAGGTAGGTTGATCATCTCTCACTTTCAATTCGTAGACGCTTGGGCATATGAAGCTTTGGATGAAACCCATGGCTTGACCTTGACTCCCAATAATTTTCTCTTTTTTAACCTTTCAAATTTTTTGTTCCCAGCAGAATATGACACCATCTAAGCGTGCCGTGGCCCGACAGGCTGCTGAGAGCCCCCCTACAACCTTGAAAAAGCGAAAGCAATCATCAATGGATGATTATGTGAGCTCCGTATGTTCGTGTGGTTATAGTTTCTACTTTTGCTTCTTTGACAGCTTTATTTGTGGGTAGGTTAACCAGAGCTTGGTCTTTTGGCAGGGAAAGAAGAAGAAATGACACGGTCTGCAAATCACTCCAGTTTTACAAGTCATCTCGGGACAAGAGTTTGACTTTCATGCTATTATTAAGATGTTATAAACTGGCATAAATTTAGAATACATGTTGCACAGGCTGTGTTGTCTGAGCTCAAGAATAGATGTTTGGTTGGGCAGTTAGGGATGTTTTGGTTGTCCCCATCAATGGCTGTTTAATTTGGACCCGACTGCCAAAAATTACAGTTTTAGTATAATAGTAAAGAATTACTATTCCTATGTGCATATTTCTTTATAATTTCTATTCTCGTCAGTTTAGTTTCAGAATTGGACAGAGAGATGCTTGTTGAATTTGCCTAGTTATGTTTTTGACAAATGTACCCACGTACTTCTGAGTTTGCTTAGGTGGGCGAGCCCTGGCGGATGAATCAGATGGGATGTCGCGAGATCACCCAGATTGAGAGTATAGCTTGCAAAGTTAACCCGAATGCCGTCCAAATGATGAAAATCTCTGGTGACACCTAGCTCGTGTTTAGCATGTAGCATTGGCGTGTTGAAACATAAGCAAACAGCGTTCAGTTCGTTTTCTGCAGGTGGATTCGGGAAGGGATCTGATTCATTGGTCTTAGTCATATGAAGATCAAACCTCTTTCTATAAGCAAAACAAATTGACTCAGAAATCCTTTCACATTGAACTCTACAACAACATAAAATGAACAAATGTAATGCCCCAGCGAAACCAAATTGAGGCTATGTTACACGACTATACATGGAGGAAAAAATGTGTTTTTCCCAGCATAACAGTGATACATGGAGGGTCTAGTGCAACGAATCATTTGTACCATCGTAACTAACGCCGCCGTTAGCCCTTTTTCGTCCTCTCCAATTCTCGCCCCACACTTTTGCCTCAGCAACTGCTCGTTCTCTGTCTAGATCCCGATTCCTTGGAGTTTCTCTACCTCGACCAGCAATAACAGGACTGTCTCTCTGAGAATCAGGACGCTCCAACTCATCTAAACCCAATTTCCGGCCCGACCCACCACCAGTTTCAATCCTCCGCAACTCCCCATTATTTAACTCCTTAAAAGACTCTCTCTTCCTGAAATCTGGCGAGTTCTTGTGGACCGAAGGGGAACTGTGCCGGCTGCTGCGTCCAGACTCGTCCAGGCTATCAGTTCCAACAGACATATTTCTTCTTGCATCTCGATGCCTCGGAGTGGATGCATCCATTCTATTACTCGGGGGAGAATGATCATTAGGGTCGTATGTTTGGGATGCTAGATATGTCAAAGCAGTCACCACATCCCCGATTAGGGGTCGTGTGGCTGCTTGCTCTTGTAGGCACATGGCAGCCACTGCAAGTGCTTGATATAGTCCACGCATAGGATAACAGCCTTGCAATAGAGGATCGGCCATCTTCGGAAACTTTCTTCGATCCCTGAAAAGTGGTCTTGCCTGGATCCATTGACACGAAACGAACGAAAGAAAAGAAAATATCAATCACCGTCATTTCAACATTCCTTTCAATAAATCACCATGCAATTGCAAGTCGGGTATCTTATATACAACGATAAAAAAACACAACATACCCATGCAACAAGATTCTGCTCGCCTGGATCTCGCCTGTTATCAATTGCCTTGCGCCCTGTGATGATTTCAAGAAAGACAACTCCAAAACTGTAAACATCAGATTTCAAAGTGAGTTGACCAGTCATAGCATATTCTGGAGCACAATAACCATACGTCCCCATCACCCTCGTAGAGACGTGAGTTTTATCACCAACAGGACCCAGTTTTGCAAGCCCAAAATCTGATAACTTGGGGAAATATCCCTCGTCAAGAAGTATATTGGACGATTTCAAGTCTCTGTATATTACAGGAGGGTTGGCTTTGTCATGCAAATATTCCAATCCCTTGGCTGCACCAGCAGCAATCTTCATTCTTGTATTCCAGTCCAGAGGTTTTTTTTCCGATGGAAGATCTGCACATATATACCATATCATTAACCATGCAGAGGTCTACAGAAAGAGGCATTCAATTCTCTTCTCAAGAAAAAAGGTCAAACACCATAAAGGATTATGCATTTATACTTGCAATTTTATTTCCAATTGACACCTTCTAAACTATTGAACTATGGAAACATCCAAGAGCGGAATCAATCCAGTTTTTAGTCTGTATGTTGAGAGAGAGGGCTAAACATATAAATCAGAGACAAAGACTCAAGTCTCAGCCTAAATAAAGGATTAGCCTGTGAATCTTAAATGAGGCCTAAAATATACCTTAATGACAGTCCCATAGATTTCATATTTCATTCCAAACACGGTGCCTTGGTTTTGTCAAATATCATATAATTAGGAAAGAGAGTTCAAAGTTAGTTTAAAAATAAATAAATAGATAAATAAAATCTCATGACGAAGTAATTTCACAAGAATAATGCCCCTAATAAGTTCTTGTCTAAAATTTGGCATCCCTCATCTCTCTCCAAGGAATACAATCAACTTTCTATTTCATCTCTAATTTTCATGTGCATCAGTGGAGAATCAAGACTTTTTGCAAGTAAAATTTATTGCTGCTAACAGAAGTAGAAAAGATACTGGGGCGACATATAACTCTAATAGTCACCAAATTCATACTTACCATACTGACCACGAGTTGCCAAATTCTGGCAACAAGCATCCCTAGAAATGAGTTGCATAATATTACTATTTTAGCTATGAAATTGGAAAATAAGTTTATATCTTCTTGTTTTTGATTAACATCTGAAATCACGGGTTCAAAACCTTTTTCTAAACAAAATTTCCATGCAATGCACTTAGGAGTACTTCATAGCAAAAATTCTATCAATCACCAACGCTACAACCAGTATCGTCCAAGCAAGGTACCTATCCATGATTACGCCAGAATATTCTGAGGGGTGTAGCCAAATGTAACTGTTACTATTACTAAAATAAGTCATTCTACTCTCTCTCATAGCCACCCGCAGCAGCAGTTACTTCATACTTGGGTTGGAGGTATTCTCCCTGCTCGGAGGTCAAAAACTTTTCTAATCTCACCATTTTATTCAACAAATAAGTCCCACTACATTTTCGGTATCTGAGCCTCCTTGATATCCTGTAGCGCCTGGTGAGAGGCTTTTGAACTGCATCTGGCCACGTTCTCCACAGCATTCAGTGAGCATGATTTGCACCCATAGACCATGGGAACTTGCTGGACAAATGTGGCTACGGACATCTCCACCTTCATTATGTCCCGCATTATATTTTGACATTCTTTCGCTATTACTAAATTTATCAAATATAAGAGAGTTTTTCTGCATATTTTAAAGAGTACAATCACTTATAAACAAAAATACTAATTATAAGTAATAATTTTAAGTGGACTTAAATATACTAATTATAAGTAATAATTTTAAGTTGACTTAAATACCCTAAATGCACAGTAATTTCATAGATAGAATATGGCTAGAAAAATAGTAGTAGTTTCTTACATGACGTGTTGTATAGATAAGTGTTACGTGGTCCTCAAAATAAATCTACGTTGTCAAAAATATAATCTATTACAAGTACAATGAGAACAAATATTTTGCAACCAGCCCATGTTAATGGAGGTATACCTATACATCTAACGAAGTCTACCAAGCTCACACCACTCCTATAGAAGGAAGCTTTTTTTTAGGTCTATGGAAAATATGACCCAACCACAATAGCACTTCTCTGCGCATCCTGTCATAACCTTCTCCTAAATTAACAAAAGTAGTGCATATTTTGCATCTCTTTTCTATAGTTTTCCATCAATATTGGGAAGTAGGTATAAGATAGTGGAAAGTGCAGAAACTGTTTTTGGCAGGCTAAAACTAACCATGTAAATGGTCTTCTAGGGATCCCAATGGCATATACTCGTACACAAGAAGCCGTTGATCACCATCAGCGCAATATCCTATCAAGTTGACAAGATTTGGATGATGTAAGAGGCTAAGCATGAGAACCTCCACCAAAAACTCTCTATTCCCTTGAAGACCATTTCGATCAAGCTGTTTAACAGCAACCACCTGCACACATAACCAATTCCCAATAGAAGTTATTGAAGGGAAGATTGAACATATCGACCAAGATTCAAAGACAAATAAAGCATGGACGGAATTCATCTTCCATTTGATGAGTTTACTGATAACCAATGATGACCTACCTGCCCTGTGCTTTCCAACCGACCTTTGTAAACATGTCCAAACCCACCTTCACCTAGCAAACACTCGGGTCTAAAGTTCTGCGTTGCAGATGCAAGTTCACGAAATGTAAATGTTTGTGCAGCTATATGTGCTAGTGGCTCTTTAGGAGTTGCCGCTTCCTTCTTAGGATCATTACCACTCCGAGATTTTGATTTATCTGGAATGCAAAAGAGTTCAGCAGGATAATTAAAAAGAAAATAGTGAAAAGGGAGACGTAAATTATCAACATATCTAAATCTTATACAATTTTCAAAACAATCCACAACTAGAACCCTCTGAGCCAGTTTTTCACTTTAAATTATTCTTGCCATTCTATTTCCTTAAAAACCAACTCCACTATTGCAGAAATAATCTGAAATCACAAAGCAATGGCATTCCCTTTTGTAAAGCAATGTTTCATTCACAGGTGCAAGAAAGAAAGAAAGAAAATCAAGGATGCAACAAGAAACAGTAACTAGAATTCAGTTCCTAGAATTTCCTTCTGTGATGCTCTATTCATAAAATCAATTGAAGTTAAAGCATTCCAGGATCACTAACCAGAGGTGAAAATTCCCACAAAAAACCTAAAAATACACCTAGTATTTCTGGATATCAAATAACAGAAAAGCTAAAAGTAATCCCCAAACAAAGATTTCTTTATGATCAAAACCCACTACTCCTTTTAGACCCAAAATTACAGAAATCCTAACAAATTAAATAGAGAGAGAAAATCAGATCGAGATAAAGAAAATAATTTTTAAAGCAAATAATATTCAAAATTTAAAGCACAATTATGGATCAAAAACCCAGAAAGTAAAATTTTCTTCAAATTGAAGGGGGAAAAGTCCAAACTAGAAATTATTACCTGAACTGGTTCTGCTCACATGGTTACGAGACTGAGCAACTGAAACTTCTTTAAATGACTCCTGTTTTTCCACTTCTTTTACAACATTGACATTATTTTGTTCCTTTTTTGCCGATCCAAAGCATGGAAAACAGCCCATCTCAAATCAAAACAATGAAACCCAAAATTATGAATCTATCAATACCTATCTATGTGTTCATATAAATATTTTCAGCACCACGTTTTTTCAGCTTTTGCCGACAGCCCATCTCATAAAAATCCTAATTTTGAACTTCCCTTGTCTGTAAATCCAAGCAACTCAACAGCAGATCAACACGCTGATAATTTTGAGCCAAAAGAAGATAAGCGAATCCAAAAAAATCTAAGAGAAAGGAAAAAAATTGCAATAAAATATCAAGAATAATTACGGAAAATTATACTGCTGTAGCCCGTAATTGTATGAATGTTACTCGCTTTTATACATGGAAAGAAGAACTGTGAGTGGTAAAAGTCAAAAAAGGAGATTTATATTTTTGATAATTTAAATTTTGTAGGAGCGTAATTACATAAATCTTGTTTGCATAATCTTCTTGGAACTGTTTAATGTGTGTCTATATCTTGGGTATGGAGGCTCCCAACTGTTTGTAATATATATAAACAAGTTAGTCTCAAGGGTCGTCTCGAGAATTCTCAACATCGTTTTGTAGATATCGAGCTAATGATTTTCTCTGATCTAATAGTTAGAAATGTAACTATTTACTAAAAGGATACACACTTTGATTTCAATTTAAAAATAAAAGAAAAGCATAATGTGTTTTGTACATCATCCTTCAACTGAAGATTTCTCTACTAGTGCATGAGGGTGACTAGGTTATAGAGAATTTATTCTACTGCCAGCTTACCCAGAGTTCTTTCGCAGATATATCCATTGAGGAGATGAGGAGCTTATTTAAAATAAGGCATTTTTTAAGGTAAGGACATGTGGGTGGTGAAGGTGGGATTTGCACACAAAAAAGGTTTTGAGTTTCGAGGAGAAAGTATGAGTGCATGAGTTAGAGATTCGAGTTGCAATTTGGGGTAAGAATTTATGTTAGTATTTTATCTAATTCTATCTTTCAAGGAGTTGGACATGTGAAAATAGTGCGTTTTGATTCTTTTGAACAATAATCAAGTCGACAACCGAACACCTTTTTACAAACTTAAAATGTTGGATATGATTAGTGTAAAACTTAAGTTGGGGGCCAATTTGTTACATCATAAAATGATCGAGGACTTCCAGAACTATATATTCTAAATGTTTCTGTGCCGCTGATTGTTTGATGGGGTTTATTTGGGAAAAAACAATACTTTGAATGGAAATATTAGAAGAACGTGTTGTTAAAAAGTAGTGATAAATTTTGAATTTACGTGTAAAATATTTGATTAAAAATAAGTATGTATAAAAAAAATTTCAAATAACGATTGTCAAACGGGGCTATATATAACCTTGTAAATCCATCTTTGATGCAAATTCAACAACAAAAATTATTTATGTCTTATTGACAACGATACCTTGTTGAGCATGGCAGAGTAGAATAGAGTTACAAAATGCGTGAATGCTTATTAATTATGCAAAACGTAAAATGTTAACTGCAAAACATGAATAGCATATGAGGATAAATTTTGAATTTACGTGTAAAATATTTGATTAAAAATAAGTATGTATAAAAAAAATTTTAAATAACGATTGTCAAACGGGGCTATATATAACCTTGTAAATCCATCTTTGATGCAAATTCAACAACAAAAATTATTTATGTCTTATTGACAACGATACCTTGTTGAGCATGGCAGTGTAGAATAGAGTTACAAAATGCGTGAATGCTTATTAATTATGCAAAACGTAAAATGTTAACTGCAAAACATGAATAGCATATGAAGTTACTTCACATGTTTCCACAGTTACTTTACAAAATTGGTGACTAAATGCACTGATGGAGGGAGGAAGCATGTGCTCCTTGAATTCTAGATTTTCTTAGAGCCTGTTTGGGAATGATTTTGAGAATTGATTTTTTGACTGTTAGGAGAAAAGTGGGGTCCACCTGCGAGAGAAGAAGTTAAATATGACGACTGGAATAGTAAAATAACGGTCAAAAAATCAATTTTTTTGTTGAAAAAATGGGGCCCAAACACCCCCTTATAGTTTTTCCCCCCCAAAAAAAAAAATTATATAAAAAAAAGTTATTAAAAATATAAAAATTTAAGTTTAAGCCACATTATTCCAAAAAAATATATTCTTAAACAGTGATTTGATATCATTTCAACCACACATTCTTCAATAAAATAATATTACACGTAGCTCAATTTTTTTTTATTTTTTAACAACACATTTCCCATCAACATACTATTCAAAAATGCATTATTACCAAAATAATGTGACTCAAACACTCCCTAATTTTAGGCCCCATTTGAACCAATTTTTTCAAAAAAAGAAAAATACATTATTAAACAGTGATTTGATATCATTTCAATCACAAATTTTTCAATAGAATAATATTACATATAAATTCAAAAAAAAAATTTTATTTTTTAATCACATATTTTTCATCAATCTATTATTTCGAAAAACATTCTTTCAAAATAAAGTGACTCATAAAGTTTCACATTTCTACCTTGTAGACCGGGGCCCAAATTTCTACGGTCAAATTATTATCTCTCTGTTTTTGCATATCCTTTTCACACCGCTTCGTCAGCTTCGGCATTTAGTTCCTGTTTAATTCTTATTATTTCAAAATTCATTTTTTTTTAAATTCATTTTCGAACACAAATTTTTAAAATAAAATAGTTTACACATAAATTAAAAAAAAATTCTACATTTTAATTATACGTTTTTCCCCAATCAGTATTACAAAATTCATTTTAACGAAATAATGGGCATCAAATTGGGCCCTTAACAGTGTCACACAAGATATAATTCCGTTTGGTACACATTAATATAAAAATAAGAATGAAAAATATAGTCATTATAGGTTCAATACAAGAAATAGAAAGTCAAATATGGTGACTTGATGTGATGAATAACGGTTATATTTTTCATTTTAATGAATAAATAATGAAAAACAAACGGGGGCTATGTATGTTAATTTTTCGAAGAAGAATGCCCTGAGTTTAGGGCACTGTTCTACAGGAAGCTTACAGGCCCCCCTCACTGTAGCTGCAGGTCGGTGGGACCTGCATTAAAAAAAAAAATTGTGCAGGCCTCGTCCTTGTGTCTGCCCTAGCCAACCTCTGTAATTGTCCCCCCTGTACGTGAAGCGCGATCCTTTTTCGAAGGGTAAGTTAACAAAATACTATGCTTAATATCCGACCAAAATTTTAAACTCTAACATTTATTCATATTCAAGTCCAAAATCTAAATGAAAAACACTTTATTCTTTTATGCATAAATTTAACCCATGTCTGATGGAAATTAAAATTAATTTTTTTTTGGTTGTGGATCTCATAAATATATGTGATTAAAATTAATTGTTGACTATGACTTGGATTAACTAAACTTTAATTTTTACCAAACGGAAACTTAGTCAAAATTTGGTGGATATGCACAACCATTTACAAAGAAAGTGTGGATAATATTTGAATAAGACACTTCTGTCATGACGACGAGTTTTTAAAAATTTTAAGTAATAAATTTGTGTAATATATCTTTACTTAACGGGGATGAAATTTTTGTATATGTTTGCTTTATTTCGTATATGATTTCCATTTATTCCTCCGATCTTTTTGATCGGCTTTTGTCTAATGAAAACCTGATTGTTATAAAAATTTCATAATTTCCTGTTCTATGTTTTCTTCACTATATATTAATTGTATTTTATATACGATTAACCTAAACTTAATTATTTTTGTATTTTTTTAATAAAATTAACGTATAAAATAGTAGATACTTTTTACAATGTACATAGATAAAAAAACGAGAACACAAAAATAAAGAGTAAAGACTAACACAAAATTTTATTTATTTTTTCTAAAATAAAGTAATTCTATAATCAGAAAAATACTACTTTCATCCATAAAGATATGCTTATTTTCTCTTTCTTTTGTCCCAAATTATACGCCACTTTTTTTTTTTTTTTTTTTTTTTTTTTTTTTTGTAAATGAAAAACACTTTATTCTTTTATGCATAAATTTAACCCATGTCTGATGGAAATTAAAATTAATTTTTTTTTGGTTGTGGATCTCATAAATATATGTGATTAAAATTAATTGTTGACTATGACTTGGATTAATTAAACTTTAATTTTTACCAAACGGAAACTTAGTCAAAATTTGGTGGATATGCACAACCATTTACAAAGAAAGTGTGGATAATATTTGAATAAGACACTTCTGTCATGACGACGAGTTTTTAAAAATTTTAAGTAATAAATTTGTGTAATATATCTTTACTTAACGGGGGATGAAATTTTTGTATATGTTAGCTTTATTTCGTATATGATTTCCATTTATTCCTCCGATCTTTTTGATCGGCTTTTGTCTAATGAAAACCTGATTGTTATAAAAATTTCATAATTTCCTGTTTTATGTTTTCTTCACTATATTAATTGTATTTTATATACGATTAACCTAAACTTAATTATTTTTGTATTTTTTTAATAAAATTAACGTATAAAATAGTAGATACTTTTTACAATGTACATAGATAAAAAAACGAGAACACAAAAATAAAGAGTAAAGACTAACACAAAATTTTATTTATTTTTTCTAAAATAAAGTAATTCTATAATCAGAAAAATACTACTTTCATCCCATAAAGATATGCTTATTTTCTCTTTCTTTTGCCCCAAATTATAGGCCACTTTTTTTTTTTTTTATTGAAAGTATGGATATTTTTTAGTTTTTTTTTTTAATATGAGCGTATTAATATACATTGTTATCAACGAATATAAACTAATCATATTTAAATTATTATTTAATGTAGTGGTATATTAGAAAAAATTACATTAATTACGTTTTCTTAATTTGCATAAAAATAGAGACAATCAAATTTTTATGGGGCCGAGGATTACTAATTTGGGAACATATTCTAAGAAATCTTTAAATGCATGTGTGTTTGCTGAAAAAGATTGTCGGGAAGAGTAGAATACTAATTATTAATTTAAAATTATTATCGACTAAATCTAAAGAAATGTATCGATGTAACTTCTCATTACAAGATTAAAATTTAAATTTTAATATAAGTCAAAGTAATCAATTAATTTTAATCACGTATATCTTTGGGATCGATAACTTTTCAACCACACGTATCATCAACTTTTCTCAAAATCTATTAAAATTTTAATTTTAATTCCAACCAAACGGTGGCTAGTGGGATTCCAAACGATTTGTAGGCGAACTTTAGCCAAACGCCAATGCAAAGATAGCGAGTTAATTTTGATTATGAGATCCTTTAACATTGGAGCACAATATAATACATGTTTTTATTTTTTATTTTTTTATTTTTTCCTTCCTCAAAAGTGAATTTTGTAGGTTCTAATTTCGGCACAACCTTTAGTTTGCATCGATTATAATTTATGACAGATAGTCGATAAAGTTGCTTAATTAATACTAGAATATATACGTTTTTCATAACTTTATGTAGGATGTTGATAAAGTTGCTTAACTAATACTATAATACATATGTGAATTAAAAAAAAAAAAATGATCAACTATATCATACACACGTGAACTTTGAAGTGCGCATGGTATTACAATTTAGATAATTATATTTAGCCCCGTTTGGCCCTCATTAATTTTGATTATAATGGGAAGAATAGATTTTTTTTTTTTTTTATGTATGGTTGTAAAAGAATGAAAAAATTTCGACTTACATGTAATATTATTTTATTAAAAATATGAGAGAAAAATTTAATTTA